CTGTACCATTTTTATAATTAACTTTTTTTAGAATTAACTTTATTAACTTTAAAATAAGTGTGAAATTATTTCTCCATAGCTTTTTTTAAGTACTCCTTCAGCAAAAGTTCAGTTTCTTGTTAAATGCAGTTGTCATCTTAAGTGCTTATAGCATCTTGCTAAGGGTGAATTTTGCATAAGCTATTCAGAGATCACTCATAAGGCTGCTATCCTGAGGTAACTGTGGCATTCAGTACTGTTGAAATGCAGGCCTTTGCCTAAGGTGATTGGAGGTTTTTTTTTTTTTTACTAATGTATTCTTACATCTGAAATTGGTGAGTGTATGCTATGTGCTTGGCATTCTACTGACACTGGAGATAGGGAAATGAGAAAAACATTGTCAGCTAAGAGATAACAATACAGGAGGGGTGGTGTTTTCATCATTGAAGGGAATAAAGGAGTTATTCATGAAAGCAGGTAGTGTATTGAAAGACATGCCAAGAGATGAGTACCACGGGTTGTAATACTAGAGATGAGTGTGGAGGGAATGAGAAAGATCTACACACTTGAGGTGAATGAAGTTTCAGAATAAGGAAGTAAGGTGGGGTAGAGTGACACAGGCATGAGAAAGCATACACTGCTCTAGAAACTAGAGTCCATATACTTCAAAGTGATTAAAAAACCAAAAGTCAAAGGCATTCCATGTGCAAATATTTTGACTAACATACAGAATGATAGCTCAGTGCTGCTTTAGAGAACCAAACACGGACCTTCTCGTCTCAGTGGTTGTCTGATGAGTTTCCTAGCCCTGGAATGTTGGGTTAGTCCTTCCTGGTTCCGCTAGAAACCAACTCAGTGCTAGGCTTCCTGCCTCGATGATGGGGGCCTGGATCCCTGGGTCACAATAGCACAACCATCGTGAGAATTCATGACAGCTGGCACAGTGTCTGTTCACAAAGCAGACCTGGTTAGTACGTGATGCAAAAATGTCACTGGTCTTTATCTACCTCAAGTCCAGTCCCTTGATAAGATTCAAGATTTTCTACCATCCACCTCTCATAGAACTATCCAGAATCAAGACAAGACAATTAGCTAGCAGTGAGGTTTTGGAGTGAAATAGTCCTGGGTTTGAATTTTTAATTTAACAGAAAAATAACATCTATTTTTTTTTGTTTTAATATCTTCACTGTGACCTGATATAATAGTGCTCAGAGAGTATTTCTTAGAATTTAATAGGTATTATGTAAATATTTATGGAAAAGTCAGATTTACAGAGAGAAGGAGAGACAGAGAGAAAGATCTTTGACCTGATGAGTCACTTCCCAAGTGGCCACAATGGCCGGAGCTCAGCCAATCTGAAGCTTCTTCTGTGTCTCCCACGGGAGGTGTAGGGTCCCTAGACCTTGGATTTTCCTTCATTGCTTTCTCAGGCTACGAGCAGGAAGGGCAGTGGAGAAGCAAGTTTATGAACCAGTGCCCATATGGGATCCAGGTACATGAAAGGTGAGATCTTTAGCCAATAAGCTACTGTGCTGGGCCCAGATATTGTATTAAAGAATAGTATGGTTAACATCATTTTAGGAATGAGTGATTGGGCTTGGTGCGATAGCGCAGTGGTTACAGTCCTTGCTTTACATGCGCTGGGATCCCATCTGGGTGCCAGTTCTGATTCCGGCAGCCCTGCTTCCCATCCAGCTCCCTGCTTGTGGCCTGGGAAAGCAGTTGAGGACTGCCCAAAGCCTTGGGACCATGCACCTGCGTGGGAGACCTGGAAGAACTCTTGGCTCCTGGCTTCGTATTGGCTCAGCTCCAGCCATTGCAGTCGTTTTGGGAGTGAATCATCGGATGGAAGATCTTCCTCTCTGTCTCTCCTCCTCTCTGTATATTTGCCTTTCCAATAAAAATAAATAAATCTTTTTTTTTATTTATTGTTGCTTACATTGTATTATTAGAATTTCTATTTTGCTTCAGAATTTTTTATTATGCATAATGTGAATGCTTAATAGTCTTTGAATGCATTCTCTATTTTGTCTTGCATATCTTTGTGATCCCTTGATCTAAATTAAATTCTGTGGTGTCTAGGTTTCATGTTCAAGGAAATTTTCTCAGGTCTTCATACTAACATTAATTATTCTTTGCTTATTTTCTTTAGAATTGGTACCTGTGGTACAGAGACAAAGGCAATAATTTTGTTAAATGCAGTATAATGAGATGATCTTCAAATCTATAATTACAATGGTTGGAAAAACTTTAGTGTTTATTAATTTGATTTGTTATTTTGTAATGGACATTTACAAAAAAATAATGGTTCTATTGAAGATTCTATCATTGTTAAATGAATTACTACAAATTTCAATTTGCAAATGTATGCTGTACATAATGATAGAACATTTTTCTTGTCACATTTTCAATTGAAGAAATATATAAAACATTATGTGCTAAGTGAACTTTTTGCAAGCAGAAATACCTAGTTCAAAAGAGGGAATTTAAAAAAAGGTTTATTCTTCAGCAAGTTTACAAGTACTCTGTTTTCTTCGTGGCTTCCTTTCCCTTTAGCTCGGGAGACTTTTCTGAGAGAGCTATTTATTCACTCAATAAATGTATCCCTTCAAGTAATTCCATGAGGCAGGAAATACAACTAAAGTGATATAGTCGTATTTGTTAAATTTATAGTTAAATTTCATTTCTTGAGTTTCTGGGTTGGTTTGTAAACCTTAAGATAAATGCTGTACCTTTACTTTATGAAAAAGTCAATACCCAGCCCTTATGCAGTGCAGGAGTATTTTGGTTTATACTTCCCATATTGTTTGAGATAGCGTTTAAAATACACAGGAAGTGTGAGTCATACTGGCCATCTTGGCAAAATGGTAGAATTCCTCCCCCTGATAATGCTGGGAGAGAAGTATTATTTCTAATCTCGTTTCCACAGACACAACAGAGGAAAGTATCCATTGCGTCTCCTCTTTTGAATACACCATTAAGTCTTCATGTATTGATAAAGAGCTATTCAAAAGTTCATAAAAAAGTTGACTTCCCTTTTACAAGTTGTATCACCTGCTTTCAAAATTTCAGTGCTATTTAAGTACATTTACATTATTTTATTTCTCAAACGTCATAGTGTTTTCAATTTTGGATCCACACTTTATGTTTATTGCTAATTCATTTCATAATCCTTAGAATTATGGGCCTATTATATATTTTTAGAGGAAATTTCCATGTCAGGATGTTTCACAGACGTGAGTATATACACCATAATATATGGATAATGTTCGATTGAGTGTTAAAATGATCAAGGAATCATGGATTTCATCAAATTACACAGTGGTGAAATGTAGCAGACACTTTAGTAACAATAATTGAAGTACAAAGTGGCTATTATACTGATTGGATATGTAGTTTGGAAAATATTACAAAATATTATAATGTTCTAATTATTTGGCATTAAAATGCTATAAAACCTATGCTTTAAAAAGATAAACTTTTGCTTCCAATTGGAAAATGGTGAAGACGTTACAATAGGGCATTTGAAACATTGGTGTGTCTGAGAAATAGATTCAAGGTTTTGTACCACACTAGTTGTTTAATCTTTTTATTTCTAGATGTCTTGACTATTAAATGAGAGAACTGGGCAGGAAATTATGAGAATCGCCTTAAATTTTACAATAGTTTTATTCATAAAGAAGCAAAAATTTTGCAAGAATTGCTACAATTATTTCCTTCTAAAAGTATCAGCTTTGAAAATAAATTTATTTCATTTACATTATGTCTAGTCACATTATAGTCACTGCTACATAGTTTACATATTTTACAGAATTAAATAAAGCTACCTGGATGGAATTTTTCTTGAGCTAGCTTTATGTCTCCTAGAATCAAGCAATTTGTACATGTGATTTTTTGTGCCTTCACTCAATAGAATTACTAGTATTAAAAATAGATACACACATTTGCAGTGGATTTGAATATTGTTAGCTACTTTTGATAGGAACTCAAAAATCATATCTCAGTGTTCTAGCCTAGACATGAGTTAGAAGCTCTGTGAAGGCAGAAATCTGTCAGTCTTCACTTACAGAGTCACAGAGCCAGGAGAGCACGTAACACTCAAGAGTTCCTAAGAAAATACTCCTGCTTATCTGAAAAATTACAGAAGCACTTTTGAAGAATATTGGTTGTCAATCTGAAGTTCTGTGAATCAGGCCACTGGTGCTGATTCAAACATATTCCACATATTTCCTTCTGACATAATTAGCAGCAGTAGGGAAAAAATTTCCTGCAAGGGAGACAAACACTAATATTCCCCTATACTTGTTTCATCTGAGCGGTTGTCTTTTTTCCCTTACAGCTATTGTTAATGAATTTACAATCAATGATGTAGACCACTAAAGTGCAAAAATGTTCATAAATATGTTTCCTTTTGAGGAACCATTTTCTGAAATACATTCAGTTGGTAAATTCTTTACTTACTGTGTCCCACTGCTTAGCATTGTCTATCTTTAGAAATCATTTCAAGAGACAAATGATTTCAGAAGTCTATTGCCATGTACTTCACATTCTTTTTCAATTTCTCTTCGGAAATACATATTTCATTCAGGAAATACATATTTCATTCATTATTTTTTAAGTGAAAAATTTTAAGGAAAATATTTCTTTAAAGAAAGATATGGCCGGTAGATGCCAATAAAACTCCTCTTCAACTTCCAAGAGCAAGAGCATCTTGGTTTATCTAACTCTGTCTACAAGTTAGAGATCTGTAGAATTTGCCAAGTGAATCGTGCTATTTATCACCCATTATGAAAAGCTACAAAACATTTTCTTCATCTTTTTTGAGCATTAATTGAAACTTAAATCTAAAGTGCTAAGCTATAGCTGCCCACAAAAATATGTAATCCAAGAACAACATTGAATTTAGAATAGTTGCATGTTGGTTGTTAATATGTTGACTATAGTACTTTATTCATCTTTGATGGGTATGTTATTGGTTGTAAGATACAAGGTCTTGATGCAGTGTATTGACCATAAAGCACTTATTGTTGGGAATAATGTATGTTACTATATCGTGTTACTCTGCGTCGGGGTGTCATTGGTGATGAGGAACCAATGCTTTGGCTTATATGAATGTCTGGACTTACTACCTGGGTCACTTGAATTTCTGGCCCCACTAAAATACTACCACTCACTACAGGTCCCATACTGCAGGTCCCATCAGCCACGCTACTATTGCTCATGTCTGCCACTCCAGGGCTAGACAGAACTCTCTCAGCATAGTACACATTGTGTGTGTTGGCTAGCTCAGCAGGCACACAAATATTCCCTTGAACATCATATATGGGTGCCATTACTGTTTCAGTTACTACCACATTGGGTGCAAGCTGAGGATCAAAAACAATTGTTGTGGGTTGTACACATGGATCAGCAGTAGTATAAGTCTCAGTCACTATGATGTCCCCATGGATCAGAGGTTCAGATGTTGCCATTTCTGCTTGAAATTCTGCCTCAGAGAGAGTCATTCCTGAAGAATCATTGACAAAGTAATTTGGTCCCAACAAAGGAAGATCAGTACTAATGGGTATGCAGGCCTGATGGGAAGGAAATGGTTCAATTTCAGTGTCTAAGCAGATTTCAGCCAGGGTCCTAAATTTGGGATCTAAAGTTTCAATGTAGCTTTCATCTAAGTCATCCACAATCCAACTGCAACAACCAATGGAGCCCACGGGAGACCCTACTCCTTCGTGGTCATATATAAGCAAGCAGTCATTGGCGGGTCGACCTTCATCTTCATCCGCATAAGCGTATGCTTTCTAAAATAGAGGAAAAACAGAAAATTAGAAGTTCCCTTTCCATTAAATTAATAAAAGCAGAATGAAAGCGATGCTTCAGAGACTTCTAATTTAGGCCTTTCTGGAATCAATTGAGAAAAGTTGTATATTGACGTATTTTTAAACAACTAAAATTGCTTAGTCCAGGCGCAAACACAGTGCATAGAGAGGACTAAATGTGATTGTCTCTTCTTTGAAAACCAGTAAATGAGGATGTATATATTTTGGTTAGTATTTGCATCAAAGTTAACACATCTTTTGGATTTATATTCTTGTTTCTGAGGTGACCTAGACATAATAAAATAGATTTAGTGATGTTCAAAATAGTTATTGAACTAGGGTTAACTTGTAATAAAAGCAAGTGTAGAGAAGAAAATATCTCTAAGCTTCAGACTTATGTCAGGAAGTCAGTGAGATTTTATACAGCTTATGCAAAAACAGTTGTAGTTAGGTTTGGCAGAAGGAAGGCACTATGAGATTATTTATCATGATTTTCAAGACGTTCAAAGTAAAAAGTGTTGAGCAGGAGCCTCATATGTAAAACAGGTAAAAGCAGAATCTCTTTGAAATGGGTGGGTGATAGGGCAGAGGTTGTGCACAGAACTCTGAAAGCAATTTCTCTTTTTCCCTCATTGGCTATTCACCCTGAGCAGGACCCATTGAGTCTCATAGGGCTTAGACAGCACTGTTGGAAATCACTGACACCTTCCTTATTTCACAACAAGGTAACTGAAGGCCTAGAGAGAGTGCATTGCGTGCTCAAGACTGAAACTATCATGGAATAAAAATGATTCCAGTTGTCCTTCCTATACTGAATAAAACATAATGCCATTTTTCCTCTGGTCTGTACTACACTGTAGATTCTACTAATAACTAAGCGAAGTAAACTTACTAAACAGGAATTTATATTACTCTATTATGCCAGTTGAATACCTCCATTGTATTTTTGGAAGACATAGACCCTTTTCTTAGTGGCATGCTTCACAGATGAGAGTGTCACCAAGTTATGATAATATTGTACTCCTGAGTTTTAACTCCCTACTATCCCAGTTTTGTCATCTGGAGAACATGAAGGGCCTCAAAAGGAGAGGATGTGAAAAGCACATTGCTCCCCTTGATCAACATTTACCTACTCTCCTGTTGCTGTGGGTAACAAAGTGTATAAAACCAGAAGGAACAAAATTCAGAGAAACAAACAAACAAAAATGTATATGGAGAAGGATAAGATATGCTAACTTTTTGCAAAGTATTAAGATGTATGGTAGCAATGGAAAATGAAATACTCCTGCAAATTGGCATTATGTATTTTAAGGAGGAAGTATTTTAAACTCAAGATTGGGCCAGGGTGGAGAATCAAGTACATTTTGGGAGATGTTTCCACCATTTTTTCCTGGCATTTTTTCCATCACTGTATTGTCTATATTGTCCATCATTGTCTAGAGACTTTCACATGCAACCAGTGTAAAGAGTATTACCTCTGTGAAGTAGCTGTCCAGGAAAGCCATGTTCATGCCAGTGTCTGCGTATTCCCGCAGGGTTCCCATGGTGGAGCTCCTCTTTCTCATGGTTCCCATTGTCCCTCCAGCCACTAGGCCAGCTCCTACCGCCCCTCCAGCCACGAGGCCAGCAGCCGTCCCAAGACCTGTGTTGAGTTCCACTCCTGATACACCTCCTTCTACCGTTCCTCCACCTGCATAGGTGTTGTTGTAGATCTCTGAAAAGAGAGGGCTTTTTTACAACAGCGCTTGAATTGCCTGTATCTTATCTTTCTAAAGCATTGCCAGCTTCATCCTACCCCCTCTTCTCCCTCAATCTGCGCCCTCACCAAAGCAGAGTCTATTCTGGAAAGCTAGGCCAAGACAGCAGGGAAGCATTACAAAGAAATCCCGTGTTTGTTGGCAACCACTCTATGTGGATCCCATTGGAACCCTTACAGAGAAATCCCTTACAATCTAGCAGTAGCTGTGTGTGGCTCAGTCATTTCACACTAAGTGGGTCTTGTTGGGGCAAAGCATTGTGAGTATAAGAAAAGTTCTTTAGTATATTATCAGAAGGAATTTGCTATTCGTTCTTCTTGAAAACAGCTTATATGACAAATAATGACTGCAGTTGCCCATACTTTGGCTGGTACATTCAGATGTGTGTATGATGGTACTTATAAGTATATGCTATTCAATTTGTACGTATATACATATGCATGTACACTTATTTATTCCTTACAGGGACACTCAAACTCAATGTGAAACAATTTCAAAGATAAGGAAGCTGAGGCTCAGATAGTTTAAGCGTCTCACTCAGGGACTTAGGACAATTATTCTTTGGCAGAGCTGACAATGAACTAAAGTTATACAATTCCAGGATTTTCCTTTTCCATGATTGCATCATGTTTCAATGCCTGTGGTTTAAGAAAAATCGAATGACCACCTGAAACATGCCACTTTTTTCTCTGATCTACCCATAGATGTGTTTGTCATCTGTAAGGTGCTGTTATATGAAGCTGGTCTGGCTAGCTATGTTTGTAGGTTTTACATCAAAACACAGATTTTGATGTTGACTGACCAGACGAATCAATGCGATCCTGAGTGTTAGAGGCTGTCACGGGGACACATATATTTGCCACATCCTGGAAAGAGAAAGAATATATCTGTAAAATAAACAGCCTATAGTAAATGTTTCTAAATTTGTCTCATTTCACTTTTGTGTGTTAATGTCAGGGTACTTTCCATATTTCTCAGTCTACTCACCCTGTCCTCGGGTTGGGCCCCTTCTATTCTCCAAGACTGCATCACACCTTCTCCTCCTTCAGGCACAGGAGCAAACCTCGTCCCCAGCCCTTCTGGCTGCCTTCGTTTGCAGCAGCAACACATAAGCAGCAAGAGTGGTGAACCTGCCCCATCAAGTGACAGGGAAGAATGAATACCATGCTTTTTAGGAAGCCAATGAATGCATCTTCTTTTTCATGATATTAAATTTAAAATCAAAGTGATAAAGATAATTGTAAGAAAGCACATTTTTTTCCCCTAAAGATCTTGTTACAACGAGCAGATTTATAGATACAAATCCACCTAATCATGCAGGATGTTAAAAGAGGTCTGAAGGGAATTTGGGAAAGGTCAATTTCTATATTTTCATGGAAGAATCTGGAAAATAAAACAAGATCGGCAGCCTCTGGTATGGCACAGTTGTTCCAATTGTACCGCATGTCTGTGAATTTACATGTGTGCTGGATCATGCAGCATTGTGGTCATGGACTCCATGGTACAAAGGTACTACACAACAAATACATGAGTTGTTTTTAGGACACACCATATACAACCACTGCCTGTATAATGTCGTCTGGTACAGAGGTAACAAAGAAATCTCAATTGGTAGCTTTGGGGACATATTAAGGCTTGAGCTAAAACCCCTCCCACCTATCATTGCACTTTCCCTATCACTTGTAATAGATAATCAACTTCTCCATTAATGAAGACATTTTTCCTATTCTGTAATCAGTGTAACAACTTTCATGTTTTCTTTCTATGGTCAGGCACAATGATAGAATTCTTGGCACTGAAAATGTAGCTGATAATTTTATTCGTTCTTTACATTGGTCTCATAAGAATTACATGTTGATACCAAGTTGTTATTTTGGAACTGCACATTGGCCCCATGGAGGGCTTAAACTTGTCAATACATGGGTCTCACCTTGCATAGGGCTCATGAACAAGGGATTTTGAAAAGACCTTTGAGTGATTCTTACATACGGCTAAGACTAAAAGCTACAGATTTAAAGGTTAACTGACAATTCTACTCAGTTTCTCTTGGATCATGACATAGGAAAGCATCTTAAACCATGTTGTGAATAACTCATGATTTTCATACTTTTGAAAGCGCATAGGTTAGCTCCCAGATGGCCATTAGGACCAGGCCACTCCAATGCCAGGAGCTTGGAGCGAAATCTTGGAATAAAAGGGTAATCTTTGGCTGCCCTTCCCAGACCATTATCAGGGAGCTGAGCCAGAAGTGCAATAGCCAGAATGTGAGCTGTTGCCTGTGAGAGATGTTAACCCCATGCCTTTCTGCTTTGAAAAAGCAGTCGATGAACTGTCTACTACAGGACTTCTTTTCTGCTTTTTCTATATTTTACTCACTAATATGTATGTTTCCCATCCTTAACTCTCACCACCCAGAGTGTCTATTTATTGAATAGGTGTACTTCCTTGTCAGGTCCATTGTTTATTTCCAAGAGCACTGAACACTTTCTATAGACACTAAAAAGAAATGGTCACATGACTCTAGCCACCCCAGTGAGTCTGGCGACCCTTCTGTTTTGAAGAAGATCAAGATTGAATACAGTACTTACACAGCAGTAGTAAGATGCCCATAGACATCATGCCGATCCCTGCTGGTCCCATGCCAACGTTGGAAGCCCCCAGTCGATCCTCATCGTCATATATGTCCATGTTGTTAGTTACTAAGCTGGTATCTTCACCGTAGATGCCCGTGGTACTAGAGAGCACACACAGGTTGTCATCACAATCACAGGCAATGAACTGTATATACTGTGGCAATTCGCAAGCTCTGTTGTAGTTGTCCTTCACAAGGATTGGGATTTGGAAAGGCCCCGGAGATAAAAGCTGCTCAGTCATGAGGATTGCAGAGGTACCTCAAAGGAAGAGAGAGAACAAAATAAACTAAAATTCCCATGGGGGGGGGGTAACACTTCAGAATATCTAAGACGAATGTAAAACTTATTTGTTTCATACAGCACCTTGTTCTTTTTATATTCAGTGATGCTACTTTGTCTTTTTAAAAAACTTGTATTTAAATTATTCAATACACATCTTGCTGGATTGTCGTTTGTTCCTACAAAGTCAATAGGACCCTGTTGCTTAGTTTCAGAGTCGTCAGTATATAATACACAATTAATAAATATTCTTTTCAATGAAAGAATAACACAGAACTCAAATATTGAAAGTCACCTATTTGGGATTATAGTTTACAGAGTATCTTCTATAGGAATCATTTATCTCTTGTTCAAGATGCTTTTTCATATAAAATTAGTCTGCTAAATCAATGTCAGGTAATCATTTTTATGTAGCTGCTGCCACCATAATACACATGCTGCTTTAGGATCTTGGGATCTCTTTTTTCTTGATGTTTCTTGGTCTGTGGATTCCTTTGTATGTAAGTACTTCCCTTCTTTCCAATGGTAACAGATGTGTGGCAGGACATATTGCTAGTACTTGGCTTAACTATTGTTTTGATATTAGCAAATTTGGGCTTAATTTTTTTCTCTTCAAAATAGGGGTAATTTTTTACCCTTACACACAATTTTGTTGATCATACATGCTACTGAATAGAAAGTATGCAGATATGTCAGTGGGAATGTGAATTTCAGACATTTTTGTTATTTGACAACTTTCAGAACAAGGAATCGTGACATGGCTAAACCTTTGAGTTAGTCAAGGGTTCCGTTTTTAGCAAAGTGAATCAAGTGTTGGTTTAGTACTCACATCAAATGATGAACTGGTATTTAGATTCTATTTGTAATTGCAATATTGATAGACTACTTCAAATTTTGTTTTAGTTCAAAGGGTTTCCAAATATATTTTTTTTTATTGAATAGGAATATATTAGACTTACAGGAAAAGCAATAGAAAGTATTCCTGAACAAGCTGACTAGTTACTTGGCACGTGCTTTGCACTGGAGCTCCAAATGTGAGCAAGGACATGTTGCACTTACTGTTTATTGATCTGATATCCCAGAGCTCAGCAGTTCCTGGTGGCTCATCAACAACACAAAAGGTAAAGGGAGACCCATAAGAACGATCATTGACGTAGATGAGGACGGATGCTGAGGAAGTGCAGAGGGTTCTTCTTTCAGCCAAAATCACTGGGCAGTAATCATTGGCATCAGGAATCTCGACACATATGGTTCCTGTAGCTGTTTTCCCAGAGCCATCTGAAAAGTAAAGCGCCATGGCGTTGTGATAAACGGCAGGGAGATAATTCTTTCTCAGGTCCATGGAAATGCTGTGGCACACGAGGACAGTGGGAATGACTTGAAGGCAGGCAAGCTTCCACCCACTACAGTGCTGCATCACGCACTCTCTTCTACTGAATTCTTGGACTACGTTTTCTTCCTAACTTGGAACTTGTGTGCGTCCTGTCTACTCTTTCTAAAATGTCTTTTTTTCTAATTTCATTTTGATAAGTCCTACTTGTCCTCATTTAGAAGACTGAATGTCTTTTCTCAGAAAAAGCTTGTTGCTTTCTTTTCTCTTTGTGTCCCTGTAAAAGAGACCACCCCCCCCCCCCCCTGCCACACAGACCAGTTTATAGTCTCCCTTTCAGAAAACTTGCTGAGCCTTCTGTGTGTGGAAACAATGAGTAATAAATCCGACAGTACAACTGATCCAGATGTTGCAAGCTATCCTGCCGAATAAAGGCAAGGATGTATGAACTGAATTATTCCTGCCTTATCCTTCTTTCCTAATCAAATATAATTCTCTGCATTTGACCACTATTAGGGCCAGATACAAACTGAATACAAACATGAAGTATCTATGTCTTGCATCTTCTTTCCTGGTTACTGACCTTTCTTTGTTTTTTATCTTTGTGTTTGTTTGTTTGTTTTGTGACTCAGCTGGTTTTCTAGTTATTGTGACAGAGAATCATTAGCTATTGATACACAAATTCCTATTGCTACTTAGCAAGAAGAATAAGTAATACATTTTCTCATGTACAAAGTAGCTCAATGACAAACCGATTCATACAGTTGGGCTTGTGACTTTTGCTTTTGGATGCTATGGTTGAAATGACTCCATGCTTTCCTGGTTCATAGCATTTCTGTTAACATGTCTAGTCAAGTAAAACATGGCCCTTTCATTGTAGCTAAGATTTAGTGCCAAAAAATTAACTATGCCCTTGGGGATACCTGTCTCCAGGTGATCCCAAAATGAATTTTTTACATAGCTTGTAGACCTTCCTTTAGGAATACCTTTCTTACATATTTTATAAGTGGTTTTTGCCTCACTCATAAATCACATCTCATTCTTATTTTGGAATTAAATGAAGGAAGCTATGATTTGAGTGTCAATTAGGATTAGAAGAGAACTTGATTTCAGTTCTTGATTGAGGTGCTTAGAACTTTCCCTAAGTATTGCATACATCACAAAATAACTTAAATGTGAACATTACAGTAAAGTTTATAGTATTTAGTATAATAATGATAATATTATTAGGAAATTGAAAGTAAATTTTCTTACCATCTATAGCCAGAATCTCTGCTGTGTATATCCCATTGGTAATATATTTTGACTTCTTATCAAATTCTCTAGAAAATTGTATTTCACCAGTCCTTGAATCAATTTTTAGCCAGCTGCCTGCATCATGCCCTATGATATACCTATTTTTAAAGAAAAAAATCTGTTACCATGCTTTAGGAAAGTTATTAACTTTAAATCATATAAAATTGTAATGTGGTAAATTTGTTATATTTTTGCACTTAATAGTGATAATTATGTTGCTCATGATAGTTATGTGTTTCAACAAAAACCAATATTTAATATATAGATGCACAGGTTCACAACAGTTTTACAGTTTCATCATTCTCATTCTTTCAGTTCTTTGCAAGATTGTTAATTATATATAATAGATATTACATTATGCTTATATAATATATTATATTTAGAAAAGAAATATATCTATATGCAGTTGCATTTATGGGATATATAATATACTATAATCAATGTAACATTGATTATATAATAATATCATAATAAAATATCCTTTATTTTCAAAAACATATTTTTTCACTTCCACATCTGATGTATTTAGTAGATTTGCTACAGATTGAAGGTGTATTAGTTTCAGAGCCCTAATTGTAGGCCTTTTAGGTCTTTAATTTGTCTGAGTCTTGTTACAGATGATGGGTTAAAAGTACTTGTTCAATTGAAGATGTGACTCCTTTTCTTTATCAGGCACAATTGCAATGTTTATTTTATTTACCTAACATCCTTTTTTGTCCACATTTTTCCAACAGACTTGCTACTTTTTGTTGTGGAAGGAATAGAGTTATCAATTTGTTTTCTGATTGAATAATTAACTGTTAAACATTAGAGTATTTATAAGTTAACAGACTTTGCTTATCCCAAAAATATTGGAAGGAAAGAGAGACAGAATGGGCCGGAGAGAGCAATTTGTGGGGTGGGGGAGGGAGACTAAGAGAGAGAGAGAGAGAGAGAGAGAGAGAGAGAGAGAGAGAGAGAGAGAGGAGTATCTGGTACAATCTTATTTCATTAAAATTCCACACACCTAATGTCCCTAGTACTGGTTTTTCCATTTCTCTCATGCTGATTCTCTTTATGCTTATCAAGTTTCTGAAACACCTTTGTTCTAAATTCCTTTATTGCTTTTCCCCATCAAGTTAAGCAGAGGTTGAAATTGGTCCCAGAGTCATAGATAACACAGGTTTAAAGAAAACAAGTGATAACTTTTTTTTAATGATATCTTGCTGTCTACAATATTGCTTAATCACTCTGGGTTCAGGATTGTACAGTTGATCCCAGAATATCAAAGAAAGTTACAGGATAAGTCAGTGACTTTTGATTATAGTTGCTTCCTGGATACAATTACTTTTAGAACCAATAAGAGTTCTTACAGCATCTAAAATGCTATTTAAATTCTAAGAGATTTCAAATGTTGCAACAGTCTTCTAAAGCAAGGAAGCAGGCAAAGAAAGAAAGAAAGTAAAATAAAACCACAGCCTACAAAGAACGTATTATGTCAATGAACACTGGGCAGAACCACACCACAGCAATTTGAAGAGTCTTTGTAGTACCTGACGTTTGTAGCAGGATTTCCTGTGTCCAAGTCTGTGGCTGTATATGTGCCTAGCACATAATTCAGTAAGGAATCTCCTGTTTTTCCTTCTCGCACACTGAATGTCATGGAACTCGGATGAAAGGTGGGTCCTTCTCTCACATTAATAACCTGAATTCTCACAGGGGTTGACTGCATTCGAAATTGAGAAGCCACTGAGTGATGAAAATCAGCTTGGTTTTTCACTCCAATGCTAAGATGAACATTAGGTACTTGTTCATAATCCAGCATCTATAAAAGTGGAGAGAAAACCTGAAACTATTTGATGGCAGTGAAAAGGCATGGCAAGCAAGTCACACACTGGAGCAAAGTTTCAGAGTTTCACAATGTAGATTTCAAATAGAAAACATTTTACTTATTACTGCATTAAGCATTTTAAACACAATATTATTTTTATCTTTTGAAATAATCAGCTGCATACTTAAAAGTTTTATTTCCTTTCAATTAAAGTGTTTATGAAAAAAAACTAGAATGAAGTAAAAATGTTCTCAACCATTGAACAAGTATATAAATAGAAACCAGACTCCTTTGTAGAATTCACATCTGAGAGCCACTTGAAAGCACAATTCGCAGAATAAAGAATATATATGATGTAATTGAGCATGTAATTATATTTTAAATGGTGCAAATAATTCTGAAGAGTTAATGATTACCATAGTCCACCTAAACTATAATTTACTTATATTGGGTCTGGTGTACAAGAAGATTTTTCTTTTTTTGTGGGGCCAGTCCAGATACCCACACTTGAGAAAAGTCCCCTTTGAAATCTTCCTGGATAAAAGGGAAATAAAATTGTTGATAAGAACAACTGATGTGGTGACATGAAAAGTCGCAACTGAAGAAGAAGCTATACAAATTAGAGTGCTGAGCCACATTGGTCAGAAAATGTTCCTGGAAGCGAACACAAGTATCATGTACAACATACTTGCTGACAACAAAAGTCAAGCTATCTCTGGCACTATCAAAAGCCTGGGACGAATTTCTGCCTCCCAGGGAAATGTCACAACATTGTAACTGTTCTCTGAGATTTCACTGCTTGAATATCTTATGGTGAGTTGATAACACCGAAGTAGTTCCAGCAATCCTCTGAGATTTCTGAGTGGAGACTCTTCAGCATGTGCCACTTCAGTTTCATCTGAAACCCAATCCTGGAGATTTGGGATTTTGATTGCACTTGTTTATTCTTTCATAGATGGTCCCTTCATACCTCCTCCAGCTACGTCCAGAGGACTGCGCACAGAGCTGAGCATGAATTATATACTAAATAAGGAATTTTCCATTGGAAGAGATTTTTCTTCTACAACTCAATTTCTATGTTTTAAAATTTCATGCTATCTTCAAAATGAAGAATTTGAGAACTTTATCCTGATAGAGGAATGTTTTATTTTTTTTGAAATTTATATACATAAAGCTATCTCTATTTGAGAAATACTTCCCTCTCTATTGAACATAGCGTGATGATAGCATATTAGAATGTCTAAAGTTGTATCATCCACAGGGGTTCACAAATTCAAGCACAGTGACTTGATTGAGGACTAATCTTCTCTGTAGCAGGTGAGATTATAAAGGATAAACATGAAAATCAGAGAGTGGTATCTTCCTTCTTTGCAAATGGGGACTTTTATCAAGGCTGACTGCAAAGGTCATGGGTTGGTACAGAGCAATAAAAGCAGTTGTTTACTTTGGAGTCTCTTTAGGTGAATGGACAATGTGGGAAACCGATAGCACTGCAGTGTAAGGCACAACTGAAAAATAACATTTAGAAGGATATGCGGTGTGTGTTGGTATAGGATGGGACTCAGCTGGCAGGGATCTGGAGTGAGGTGGCCTTTCCAGAAATGGATCAGGCTTGAGGGTTTTGTTTCAGTAATTTCACGTAGGAGCTAAGCTTGGGCACAACTTTTAGTTTTAATTTTTTTTTTTCCATTAGGATGCCGTTATTTTTAGATGGGGCGCAGTTCATTTGAGGACCAAGTATGAAATACGGCCGGGAGGTTAGAAGTCTGCAAACCACAGGGAGAGGTGACAGTAGTTTTTATGGCAGGGACAAAGGAAAGGAAATAGTCAGCTGATAAATGCTTACATTCTGCTTTCCAGGCAGGGGACATTTTCTGATTACAAATATGTCTGGAAGCGGCAAGCAGGGCACACACACACACACATGAGGTAGGAGTTTATAGATGTGAACAGCCTCGGACAGAAAATCTCAGGGTGCTGGTTCTTTCCTAAGACCTGTTTTACTGGCCTCTGATTATATGGTGAGGCATGGAAACGCAGTTAAATATGGCCTTGAGATCAGAGGAGTCTGGATTTTTGTCATTTGCTCCCTGGGTGAACTCGGCCAATTTAGATTTCTTCGTTGTTTCTCTTTCTGTAAAAATAAAGGATTCACTATATTTTCTTCTTAAGCACCGGGAGGATTAGATGAGATCATAGGTGTTCTACATACGCAACATTTTGGTCCAATAATTGTTTATAAACATTCGTTAGAATTAAAATCCAAAGAGAAACCAACATGTCTTTGTTAGAATTCTAGTTCAGTAACATCTCCTTTTCATGCTGTTGTGAATATGTATGTGTGCACATATTTTTGTAGTGCTTAGTAGAATTTCCGTAAACATTTATCAGTAAGTACCATGGGAAGGCTGTTACCCTCAGAGAGATTTTTCTCATGTCGCATTTACAATTCCTTAAGATGAAGACCATGTCTCAGTCACCTTTTCATCTCTAAGATACAGTAATAAACTTCTGTGTTTTCTTGTTTCCCAAGCAGCAAAAGGAATGAGGTCATTTAAGAGAAAATCATCTGCAGGAAATCCCCAGCTCCTGTAGTCCAGAATTCAAGGCTCTCAGCAGACCAATTGTAACAGGGTGTCCTCACACTTCCTTGCCTGAACACTCTGCTCCAGCCCTGCTGGGCTGGCCCTCCTGCCCTGAACATGCTCTGTGCGTTCTCACCTCTGTGTTTGCTCATTTCATTGCCCACATTAACCATTTCATATGTAAGATTCTCCTTCAACCTTAGTCCCTGCAAGAAAGCTTTGCAGACACTTCTACCTCAGAGAAATCTGTCCTTCTCTATTGGATCAGTTATTTCATATTCCAGTCACTTTGCAATAAGCTATGTTTTACATCGTAACACCTGTGCTATTTCTTATGACATTGTGACTCTCAGTGCATTATTTGATTTGGATGTTTTTACTTCATCTTTTCAACTTGATATTGGGCACTATGAGGATAAAAGAGTCCTCTTACTTAGTGATAGATTGGCATTGCCAGACTGGAAGGCTTGGAATGACTGAGTAGCTCACTTACAATACTTGTCAGTATCAACAATATTAAAGATTATGGTGTACTTTTTTTCAAAGCTGGTTTTGTGTTTGGGAGTCACTTAAAATTGGGCAAGAAGTAGATTTTGTACTATACCTTGACGACTTTCAAAATGCCTTCATTTGTCTTTGGGTCTGTTTGAATTTCAAACCATTCTCCATCATTTCCAGAGAGAATTAAATACTTTGCCAACCAATTATCACTGCCTTCTTCATCAAGATCAATTGCTTGTAATCGCATCAGTTCTGAAGTTAAACAATTCTCTTCAATGCTTGCGGAATACTGAAATGACATAAGATCAATTTAATAATCAATTTTCAAAAGAAGAATATTTACTAACACTTTATTATCATCTAAATCATTAACAGTCAACTATGCCAATGATGTTTACAACATTATTGGGTGTCACAATTTAATAAAAATGCAAAAGTAAATGATTGTAATGAAACTTATGGTGAATGCTGCATGTGAAATCAAGATCAAATTATCAGTTCCGTTTGTTTTTCTTATTTATTATTATGATTATGACTATATTTACTCCATTATGTTAGGCATGAGAGCAGACTTATTTATTCTGTAAAGGGCCAGAGAGTAAATACATTAAGCACTGGGGTTCATATTTTGATTTATCTTGTCTGCTGCTTGCAGCTTAAAGCAGCCACAGACCACTGGAAAGGAATGAGCATCGCTATGGTCTATTAAATTATATTTTACCAAAGCAGAGAGCAAGCCTGATTTGACTTTGATAATTTAGACCTGATTCTTCTCATTGCCTGAAGTTGAATATAGTTGTGGAGGATGTTTGGGACCTGAGAAAATTAATTTAGTAACCATAAAGAACATAAAAAGTATCGATGTTGTTTTGTCATTCCCCAAATTATAGCAACATTTTCACTCTTCTCTGTAGAGAATATGGTGTAGATTACTGTTTCTACAAGAAGATTTTCTTGGAATAATGAGTCCAACACACAATATGAAGAAATACTCATATCCGTAAGAAATTCCAAAGTTTATACAATGAAGTTGAGGGTATGTCAGGAAGTAACAGAATGAGGTTTACAAACCAGTAGGAGAGTAAAATAAATGCTGATACTTATGCAAAGGGATGATAAAAGACTTACTGAAGTCTTCTCCAAGATGGGAAAATTGTCGTTGACGTCTAACACCTTGATTCTGCAGTCACACTCTGAAGAGAGTCCATCCGAAGCTCCGTCCCGATCTGAGCCCCTCACAAGCAGGTTGTACATACTGTGTTGCTTAAGTAGGATGTGAGAATTGTAAAACTTAGAACAGAGTATAGCACATTGCAAAACTTTCGAATAGAGTCTAGCACATTACAGTGCCATTCACCTCTTTTAAAAAATAAACACATCAACTATAACCTGTATAATTGAGAATTATGTTTTCTATAAACTGATTGGACTATTTTTCTTCCCTTAACACTGGAGTAAAGGCATACATAGGTTACTCATCCGTTTTCTTTTACAAATCAACTTTTTTGTTTCTTATCATTGATTCCTACAAGACTTTACCTCTCTGTCCAGAAAATTGGACATTGTGCGAACTTCTCCAGTGTATCTGTTGAGAATGAACATTGGTGCACCTGCAGGCTCCTGAGAGATGATCTTATAGGCAATTTTGGAATTCAGATGATTGTCTTCATCTGCATCTGTGGCACTTAACTTTACCACCAGTGAATCTAGAAATAAAGGTAGAGGTGGAGAATGGTCGGAATTCCATTAGAATAAGTACTAGACATCAGAAAAAAGAATTGTTGGCCATTCTACTGAGTTCTCTGAGTTTTCCATGAATATGTATTAGCATAACTTTCCATCATACTAATGATTTCAAAAATGGTGGTAGCTTGCTTCCATAAAATCTCTTACTTTTTATAAAGTCTTTTCATTCCAAGATCAACTGGAATTTTTGCAGCAAAATACAGCTATCATCAATGTAGCAAAAATATGTACAAAAGCCTACCAGAAAGCTAAAGAAACCCATTTTTTCAGTTTTGCTCCTGCCATGATCATGCAAAATTATTTCAAAATGCTCACTTAATAGGTATTACAGCTTAAATTCAATGCACTGATTATTTATTGAGAAACTATGTTCTTAATTGTCACTCATCCAGAAAGCAGAGAATTACTATTTATTGCATTGAAACATAACAGTATTTTACTGAACAGTCAAAACTCTATGGTTATTGGAAAGATTTGCTCATGAACAGATATGTTCTTGATTAATTCTTAGTGATAAAGAACAGGCATTCTAGGCCAATCTCTAAGGACATCAAGTTCAAAGGACAGATTTCCCGGAGTAGCCAGGTCCCTGATGTTCTTTTGTTCCTAGCTGGGCCTCAGTGTACAAAGTCCCGTCTCAGAGAACCAGGGAGTCTTTGAACAGAAAGAGATAAGACACATGGAGTGCCTAGTTGTAGCAACATGCCCTGGGCCTGCAGCCGTTGGTTCAGAGACTATCCTTGTTGGAGGAGACAGTGACAAGGCTGCTCACAGCACCAGAGGAATTGGTTGTGGGTTTTCCTTTCCTTTCCTTCCCCAAGGGTGTTCCCAAGATATTGGTGAGGATCAAAGCCTGTCCCTGTTTTGTCTCTTCAACCAAACCTTCTCTTCATCTCCGTGTCCTCCATTCCTATATTCAAAAGCATTTGGTGGTTATCTAACTTTTTTCTGCAATCTACTTTTGTTATGGTTTTCCCTCAAATGTGTGTGAAGTTAAACAGGTAGAGAGATTAAAAAAGGAAAGGAAAATTAGAAAATGGAGGAAGAGGCAGAAAAAAAGAAAGAGAAGAGACAAAAGTAGCAACATGGGGAAAGCATTGGAGGAAAAGGGAAATCAGGGCCACTTGTCCCGAGGAGTTAATGACTGAAGGACTTTGGGAGTGGAAGTGAGCAGGAAAGGAAGCATGACCAACTCAAGGGAGTGGTATGCGATCGGCTTTTGAGATCATACTGTAGGTAAGTTTCTCCTAGACACCATGGCTCTCTACTGTGATTCAACCACTTATGGTTTCTTTCTCAGTTTACTCACTTGGGTTACGTGACTCACAAGCCTGTAGCTATCTCTGCGTGCTAAGTCATGGGTGTATCAGCTTGTCACAAACAAGAGCCTATTTGATATTCTAGATGTGATTTTTCATTTTATCTTTGTTGTAAGTAAAAATTAGCAAGAGGTAATTCAAAATAAAAGTTTTACATTTTTCCCCCTGATTTTTAAATGATCTGCATTTCATACTCAAAGCCTCAGACACAGGGTCATGTGCAGTAGGAGGGTAGGGTCATTCTACTCACTGGCATCGCTGTTTTCTTCAATGCTGGCCATGTACACATTTTGAGTAAAAACTGGAGGGTTGTCATTTATATCCATAACTTTGACTCTGAGCTCCAAAGGCCTTTCCAAGTCTTCACCTCGTGCATTTAAAGCCCGGCAATAGATCTAGGAGAAATTAGAAAAAAAGACAAGAGAAATTTAACTTGCATGTATGGAAATATGTGAGGAAATATGCAAAGAAACAATTGGTTTAGTGGTCTCATGTTATAGTACATCTAATAATTTAAATATAGCCAGAAATAGTGGGATCCCAGAGTACCAGCAACATACCAAAGAATCCTGAAATATAAATGTATTTTCCACTCTTTCTTTTGGGTGTGTTTTATGAAAAATTAGTTTCAGGGGCCAGGGTTGTGGCAGAGAGGATCGAGCCACCGCTTGCAACTCCCATATTGGAATCATGGTTTGAGTTCTGGCTACTCTGATTTCCATCCAGCTCTCTGCTAATATGTCTGCAAAGGCAGCGGAGGATAACCCAGGTACACAGGTCTCCATCACCTTGTGGGACTCCTGGACAGAGTTCCTGACTTCTGGCTCAGGTTTGGCTTAGCATGGCTTGTTAGAGTCATTTGTGGAAGGCATTGTCACATGGAACTCTGTCTCAGTACTTCTTTTCTTGCTGCCTTACTTACAATAAATATATATAAATAAATAAGCTACTATCATCCTTAGACAATCTTTGTTTAAAAGAAGAAGAAAACATATGCGTGAATGAAAATACACTACTGTGACTTACCAAGAAAAGTGGAGTGATCTCTCTATCCACCACTGAGGTAATGTTAATTTCCCCCGTACGAGGATTAATGGTGAACACCCCATATGGTGGCCGGTCAATCCCTACGCCAGAGATGCGGTATGTAATCTTCTGGTTTGCTTCACAGTCAGATCGAATCTGTAATCAAAGTGGATAGGATTCTAGTCTTTTTTTGTGTTTGTGAATCATAAAATACATCATAACATTAAATGAGAGTGAAATGGTTTCAGTAGCCAGCTAGGTTTTGGATTAAAACTCAGTACCATGACTTGGTCTTTTGTGACCTTGGAAAATTCATTGAAATTCTCTAAGCACCAGCTAATAATCAATATGCCAATATTGCATAGGTTTGCGATATATCCTGCTCCAGGTTCAATGGCCATATACATAGGACACATACACGCTTATTGTAAAATTTGCTGTTGTGAATACATTGCTCAAATCTCTGATTTCTTTTTCTTTTAATTTAGATAAATTAACAGAAGGAAACAGATTATTTACTTTAAAAAAAACACTGTCTTATATGAATAAGTACCTAGCCTAGACTTGAGTTAAATAAGTTAATAAAATTACAAGAGAAGTATGGCATTTAGAGCTATTGGCAATGGTTTTATAAATATAAGTCTACTGTGTTTTTTTTTTCTCAAATAGAGTTTGTGGCAAATGCGCCATGTAGATTTTGTTCTAGTATAGAACAAAAATAGATAGTTAAGTATCTATTGGATATACTAGAAATGCCATCTACATACTAAAGATGAGAAAATCTGGTAAAATACTACAAATTATTATTAGAACAGCCACAATTAAATACCAACAGCAGGATATATAACTGGCTAGGCTCTTTTTTATATAGAAAAAAAAGAAAAACAGAATGTAAGTGCTAAACATAAAACATTCAGTAGAATGAAAATACTTTGAAAACTTCAGAGAGAAACTTTTCTTGACTTGAGTGAGTTCTGTGGCATCAAGGCTGTGTTACTATGTTTTTGTTTTTTTGTTTTTTTTTTTTCTGCAAAATTAAAGCAAAGAGTTCCAGTTGATCAAGCTCCTGTTGATTTCAATGATCTATTGCCAAGACACCCAGGATGAGCTCCTGAAGCTGTTGATGCAGACTCCTCCTTCTGGATCAATTTTTTTTTGACACATCCTGCCTTGAACTAGTCTTCCTTTTGGTAGCCATCTTTGTGAACACCTTTTGAGACTCCCCTAGATTTTGAGATCTGAAGCAAACTTTTGAAATCATCTGTACTTCCTGGCACTGCATCACATAAATGCATCAACTTTCAACTTTCTGAAAGTTAATCTTTAGAATATTGCTACATGAGCAAGTTTCCTCTAAGTAACAGAGGCAGTAATGAGCAGAACACAAATGGACAAAGCCCAATTATGCTGGAGATCCAAGTTTTCCTTCTAGGATCTTTCATCAAGGAGCTTCTGTCTTCTCTTAGCCTCCAGCACATGGTGTTCCACTTGGCTCAACAATGGAACAAATGACTGCATTCCCTATCTCCTTAAATCACTAGGGAGCAGTGAAGGCTACTGGAAGTACTTCATAGTTTCCTGAAAAGCAATTGTTATCAGCTCAGGATGCTTGTTTCATCACTTACTCTGGCAATTGGATTCCTCTTGGAGTTGTCTTCTCCTTCTCGGCAGGCAGCTGCAAACTTGATCCATTCTCGCTTCTGTCTTCTGACGGTTTGCCATGTTGTGGTGCCATTTTCGATGTCTAATTCTTTTACCTTCAGCAAAAATAATGTTTGTATACATTTCTAAGCATAAACCTGGTTGTATGTATTTTGTAAATCTGAATGTTCTTATTGATATGTAAGTATTTCATACTTATCTAAGTAAAGGCTCCATGTAACATCACTCTTGGAAAAGAAGATATTACATGGGAATGGAGTTTGTCCTTTCCAGAATGAATGACTTTATGCTTTTCTTTTCTTTTGATACAACTTCCTGAAATGTGGCCCATAACTCTTAACAGATAAGAAAAGTAATTTCATTCTCTCCAGTGATTTGAGGTGATTATAATTATAATTTGGCTTACATGATAAATTTAAACCCTAATAGAGGAATAGCAGTTTTAACACTAAATAGTCTCTTTAGTCAAATTACATTTTATAAGATTTATATATCTTTCCCTCATTACTAGAGCAGCAATTTTCATTCCTGCTCACGTAACTGTGACCGCTGTTTGGCTCTGAAGTGTTACTTTGCTTCTTCTGCTTTGCGATAGTTTGAGAAACATGTCAGTAAACTACCAGCTTTATTTAATAGACAGTACCTACCAAGATAATGAACTGTTACACACCATGCCTTAAAAGCATAAAAATTTGGGAATACAGATTTTACCATTGCTATTTTATTTTGACAAGGCTTCTGTTGACTTTCCTTTGGAATGACTATAATTCTAATTATTATGATTTTTGATATATTACAAAATTTAGTTTTCTTTTAGATTCAATTAGAAAAAAATGTTTTATATGCATTACCTCAACAATAAATTCACTGTTTAATTCCAGGACCACCTGTAATAGAAAAAAACAGTATTATGAAAAAAAACAGCATATGAATTTGCATAATAGAAAGAAGCAATGTAATATAATCCTTAACAAGTTTCCTTTCTTATATATTTTTCAGTATTTATTTAGTTAATAGTATGGAATAGACATGATAATATAAAATAAGTATGGCAGATTTTTGCCTTACAAAACCATTTGAGGAAGACACATAGCACTCTATAGCAAATCAGGTCAGTGTTTGTATCATGACAGGGAGGCCAGTGGGAGGGTGGAACAGGCAACTCAAGATAACCAAGTGGATTTGGGGAAAGCCTCTCAGGAGAGGAGGGATTTGAAAGAATTTCATAGGAGGAAGCTGTTTCCATAAGAGGAAGGCTTGGGGAAGAAGGTTCCAGGCAGAGTAAAGCATGGACAAAGATAGAAAGGCAGGAACGTTCGAAGTTGAGACAGAAATGGCAAGTATTACCAGCTGGAATGGAGAGAAGTTTCCGAGAGCCATTCCTGGGCGTATCACACGTGCTTTCCAGACCAGGCTAAGTTTGGGTTTTAATAGGTAGAGACTGAAAGTGATGAAAACATGGTCTTGAAGACAGGTCATTGATGTGAAGGGCAGATTGCAGAAGAAAGCACTCGAAACAGAGACACTTAGAGATTGACCATTACATAGACAAGATGAGTCAGAGCACAAATGTGGGTGTTGAAGTGGCATTGGAGAGGAAAAGAGAGATGACCAAAGAAGTGACACAAAACAACTGATGTGACAGGAACATGATTCTGGAAGAATGAAAGAGCCATTCACAGAAACAGAAAATTTAGCAAGATTATATCATTATAGGGGAATAATGACTTCAAGTTTTACTTATTTTCAGTGTGGTAACTTTTTTCCTAAAAGATTTATTTCAAAAAAGCAGAGTTACAGAGAGAGGGAATGATAGAGAGAAAAAGAGAAAGAAAGAGAGAGAGAGGGAGAGAAAGGGAGAGAGAGAGAGAATGAATCAAGATCTTCATTCTGCTAATTCACTCCCAGTTGACCACATGGCCAGTGCTGGGCTGGGCTGAAGTCAGCAGGAGCTAGGAGCTTCAGCTGGGTCATTCTGGTGGCAGGAGACCAAGGATTTCAGCTGTTTTCTTCTGATTTTCTCCAGCTGCCAGTGGGAGCTGTATTGGAAGTGGAGCAGCCCAGACAGGAACTGGAGCCCCTTTAGATGCTGACATCACAGGTGGTGGATGACTTTGCCTGCTGTGCCTCAACACTGGCCCCTTTAACAGACATCTAATACTTTCAATAGGATATATATATTTTTATATATATATATTAAAAATATATATATATTTTTTTCAGATTATTTTATATATATATATATAAAATAATCTGAAAAATGCCTTTCCTCCCAAATATTGTTATTTTAAGTTGGAAGAAATGAGGATTATAAATGACATTTAAAAAAATGAAGTAAGCACAAAATAGGTTCTCGTGGGAAATGCTTTGATTCACGCAAGGAGATGGAAGGGGCCTCAAAGCAGGGTGTCCTGTTGACACTCGGAGAGAGGGTCTCTAAGGTGGGGAGGGATCCTGGTTGTGAGTGCAGAACAAATTCTGTTAACATGAGAAGGGTAAGGAAGCAGATCTTAGAAAAGTGATAGGGATGTGGAGACCAAGTTTTCAGAAAGGAGGCAGAATGCAGAGCAGTGCTATAAAATTAGACAAAGGAGAATATTTAATGGTTTGTGTGTTACAGTCAGATCAATGAGAACAGTATCTAGAAAGGTGATAGAATCAGAGTAGACATTCATTGCTAGTGAATTGTTGAAGAAGGTGGAATAGCAATCAGATTGCGTATTAAGCTAAGAACTAAAACAGGAGAGATATGACACACTTCAACAGTTAATTAGATCGGGCCATACTGAGCAGGCTTAATTAGATCAGGCATTTTTTTACTTCTTTTTATTATTATCATTTTATGATACAGTTCCACAGACCTTGAGTTTTCCCTTTTCCCCCTTCCCGATTCCTTCCCCCTCCACCTAGTTCCTCTATATCATTACCATAGTACAGTTCCCCATACACAGTCATATGTTCATCATTGCAGGCATGGACAATGGCAGAGAGTCCAGCATTCTATTGTCAAGATATAGTAAGCAGTTTCATTGGGAGTCCATCTTTGTCTGGAAGTGGAGATGCCTACCATACCAGGATGCAGGCATCTCAAGAAGGGTCTCCAACCCCACCACCATATCTAATGCCTACCTGTCTTTTTAATTCACTTTCTCCTTCATGTGTAGCTTTATTGGGTAGCAATAAAATGCCTAAACCCCCAAATGATAAAAATTTAATAGAGGATCTTATTCAGTTGCATTGAATGTTTTATATTGTAACAAATATTACCTTTTGGGGGGGGTAAGACTTTTTTTTGCTTTTGTTTTAAAAAGTAGATGATTTGGGGAGGAAGAAGAAAAAGTACATATTGCACAGAATCTCAATATCCATTATTTTTCTTCACATGTTTTTTCCTCACAACACATACTTACATGTACTTATAGAACATACACTTAGACACATACACATTAGATAGATATAGATATAGGACATACACTTAGATAATTACTCATACAGTAATTTTTCACTGAAAAGAAACCAAGCATGCAATTTTGTGATTTGCTTTTAGAGCTCAGTCATCATTGCAGTAAAGGTCCATGCCAATGAATACCTCTAGCTGCACATTTGGTGGATGCTTGATGGTTACTTTAATAACTTGCTGTCTCATTCAGGTCACTGGGGCATCACGGTAACAGAACCCCTTCACACTGCAGTTAGTGCTGTAGACTGCGCCTCCTGGGGCGGTTCCCAGGCACCTCCTCCAGCGGAAGCCCCGCCCTGCTGGACACCAGCAGGTTGGCGAGCTGAGGGCATTACATTATCAAGCAGAATCTCCTCTTCGTCCTGAGCGCCACACGTCTCTTTCCTCCCTCCCCTTCAACACTTTCACTCCCTCTCATCCTTATAGACTCTTCCCCTTGTTCCTTTCTTCCTGATATGGTCCTAGGCTTGACAAGAGCTGCAATCGCATCACCGTCTTGCCTACTCCACGCAGCAGAGGGAGAATAAGCAGTGCCTCTGGATCCCAGAGGTGTAATCAATGCAGTAACCTAGTTTTAACCTAAAGACAGTGAAGATGAGTCCCAGCTAGGGATCTGCTATAATCCCGTCAGAGATGTGGCAGTTATCTTTATAGAATGCCAGTTAGTGGGAGGCATTCTCATCCTGGTTTCTGCCAGCTTGTAACATTTCCCAGGTTAACATTATAGTTTATGTGTAGTTGAAATAGCAGCTGAGGATGTACATATGTCACTGTTCTCCTTATTTTATTTTCTTGATATCTATAGCTTTTTCTTTATAAAATGTTAAATTTAGTTGAAAGGCAAAATTGGAGACAGAGAGAGAGAGAGAGAGAGCTTTTATTTGCTAGTCCGTTTTCCACATGAGTTCAGTAGCTGGGACTCAGCAATGTAGACCCCAGGAGCCTGGAACTCCATTAAATCTACCATGGGGGGTGTGGAGGGGGTCACAAACCACATGTTGGTCCTTAAAGCTTATTTTGAATCACCTAATATTTGAACAAATTGTTCTGATTTTGCTTGTATTCTGTAGCAAACATACATGTATATATGAAGCAAAATTATTTTATTGGAATTTCTATAATTATAAGACTCAGCATTAAAAATATTTCTACAACTTATATTAGCTTTGAAAAGATAATGATTAGTATAATTAAGTGAACATGTTACAAATGTGGGCATTTTGATGAATATAGTTAAATACAGAAAAGAAAGTTATTTATTTGAAATGCAAAGAAATGAATGAAGTTTAAAAGAATCAGTAAGAATCAAGTCTATTTGGTTTAACTTTGCCTTTCAATTTAAGTATAGAGGCAGCATCTTCATGTTAATAGGTAAATGTTATTGCATAATTATTTAGCAGAATCACTAAATTTTTCATCTTATTCTGAATTAAGGGAGCCAGATCTACAGAATCTTTCATTTGAAGTACCCGAGGAGCTGGCATTGTGCCATAGCAGGTAAAGCTGCCACCTGTTGCAATGGCATCCCGCAAGGAAGCTAGCTTGTGTCCTGGTTGCTTCACATTCAATACAGCTTCCTGTTAATGGCCTGAGCAAAGTAGTGAATGAAGGCCAAAGTACTTGGGCCCCTTCCACGCATGTGGGAGACCTAGGTGAAGTTCCCAGTTCCTGGTTTTGGCCTGGCTCAGTTAGAGTAGACATTTGGGGAGTGAGCCAATGGATCTTTCTCTCTCTTTCCCTCTCTGTAACTCCAACTTTCAAATAAGTAAATAAATATTTAAAAAATTATTTTAGATACTTTCAACAATACTTTGAATTGTCTCTTAGTTTGTTGCCTTGAATGGTTTTGCAATCTATTATGGTGCAGTATGCTGATATTTGCCATGAACAAGAGCCATGAAATTTTTTCTAAGGGAGATTTGGAAGAGGAGAAGCAGTTTGATCCCTCAAGGCCAGTTGCACATTCAAATAAGTGGATTAAAGGAAAGAACACACACACACACATACAGAAACTTTAAAAAGTTTATGGAAAAGACATTTTAATTCTGGTGTCTACAAACTTTTTGATGCCTCTTGTATCTATTTTAGACTAAGAAAATGTTTCTTCTAAAATAATCTGCACATTGATATTCCTTTTCTGTAAAGTATGTGCCCCAATGTGAAGATTAGTGTTGTCATGACAGTTATGCTGGCATTACACTTGTGAAGTCAGTATACATTTCACTTTATAATAACTCACACTCCATAGCAGAAGTGCAACGTTGTGCAGTTTGGTTTTATGATAAAATAGTGTAGATTAGAGATAACTTCTCCAGACTCAGGAGCAGAAAAACTGAGTTTTAGCCTGGTTGTTTGCCAGTAGTATGATTTTGGACACCCCACCTCCTGCCAAGTTTGTGCCTGCATCTAACTCTGATATATGTAGAAATTCAT